CCCATTTTCCCACTTCCGGTTGCTTGTTCGATTTGTCGCCGTGCTTTCCTTTTCGCCCTGCCCATTCTACGTGCTTGGCATATCAATCAAATCTTTCCGCAAAATCCCTGGCTGGGTAACTTATACATTATTTAATCGCTGTGAGTGAATTAAAATTAAAATTCTCTGTATTTTTTGAGGCACGAGCTTGGGGCTCAAACTGATCCCGGTCGCTTTCCCTGTCCATATATACATTAATACGCACTGTGCGCATGCCGCAAGCAAATTAATTTTATAAACTCTCAAACAAACCGCAGGCGTTCTCTTACTAGGGTACAACAGCAGGGGTCAGGGGCAGGAAGATGTGACAATTCCCATAAGTAGCGGGAAAGCTGAAAATATTACAAAAGCGACCTATATAAAATCGAGAATTTAATTTTGTCTATAGCATAATGGGCGCAACCAGAAATTACGAATGCCACTTGAAAATGGACAAAAGGCCACAGAGGCGCACAGGAGGTCAACACTCGGCGCCTGCTCTGTGTCATCCTTGTGCGATTTCAAGTTAATATTTTGAATAATGCCACATAATTTACACACATAAGCGACTTGGGGCTCTTGAGATTTATGTGCACAAATTATTCAGCGACTGCGACTCCGACAGCGACTGCGACAGCTCGGACGAGTAGTTTCCAACGTTCAAGTTACCCGCCACATTGAGCAAAGCATCTTTGATAGCGCCGGGCAAATTGCTCATCATTTCTCTTGGCACGGCAACCAAATTAAGAGACAGCTTTCATAAGTAATGGAATGCCCAAAAATACGTAGTTTGAGTCCATTTCAAAGGCGCGTTCTGGGTCAGATATTTAGAGCTACAAATATTTCAGAATATTCTTTCCTTTGCTTCGAGCTAACTTCCTAAAATATATGAGACTAGGAGGCAACTCTTGCCCAGGTCTAAATTGCCCTTACGTTGATTCTTATTTATATATATGTTTCTAAATATTCACTTACCCTTAAGGTTCACGCATGATTGTTGTCTTTACATAAGTCGAAGGCAGAAGCATCACTAAAAAATAAAAGAAGTAGAGTGCGGATAAGAGTAAGAGTAGGAGAAGGAAAGGGTAATTAAATGTATTTAATTTAAATCTTTCGAGTTGCTCTTCAGGCAAACTCGAGTAGATTATATTTTCGCTTGCCACAGCTGTAATAATTACCTAATAATGCTGTCTTCATACAGGACTGATAAGCATGTGAAATCTGATACGAATTAATTTCAAGTTGTTTGCAAAATACCCTCAAAAACTCTCACTCCCCTGTCGAGTTGAGTGCTCGTGAGCTTGGCGCCTGTTGAAGCCTTTTTGTTTGTCTGTTTTGTTGACAGGCACAACAAATATTTGCATGCACGCTGTCCAGAATATACATTTATGTAAATACAGTGAAACTGGCCTTTAATGAACTCGCAGCGCCTTTTGCAAAAAAAAATACAAATATTTTGAAGCAGCAAAAAAGTAACAATAATAGCAGATGCATAAGTTTATGCTTTGCCCAGAATAATTTGAATGCGCTAAAACAAAAACGTGAAAATATTTTTTAAAGTAAACATGTTTCTAATGGGACAGCAAATTCTTTTTAAATGTTTCATTTATCTCGAAAACGTGCTTACGCACTTATTAACTTGCTGGGCGTTTCAGATATCGAGCTCAACTTTAGCAGCTCATGTATGTTGTTATATATAAACTCATCATTTTGCTGCCTTATGGACCTTCTGATGTCATTTAAATCTATGGTAATTAATATAGGCAAAATTTAAAAATACATCGGCTTACTTTTGGGTCCTTCACAGGCGTTGCCAACGCGTTGTCTACTTTCTGGCGGCGGGCTTTATGCATTCAAAGTGATGTCTATTTAACTCATTAAATTTCATTGAGTTGTGTTGTGTGCGTGTGTGCTGAATGCTCTCCTGCCCTGAAGTACTTAGCATTTGTAATATTTAAATGCCTTTGCCAGCACTTGTAATAATTATTTTGCTGTGTGCGCATAATTTAAAAATAAAAAGTGATGACAGACTGTGACTCTGGCGGGATTTTAGAGTTTGATAATAACATGAAAAGATGATGTCACAAGGAAAACAAAGTGTTGCCGCTGGTCCACCCTAAAGCCACCCATTCCTCGTAGCAATGACTTTCAGCTGGAGCGTTATGTTTATGTTCTTGCGTTTCTTGCCTTGCGTTTTTATTTATTTTTGTTTTTTTTCGGCTGTTTTCTGCCAGCCTAATTACCAACTCATTTAATTTGGCATTGCGTCCGTTTGCTATACTTAGCATGCGATTCATTAAAAAGAACATTCGCCAGCACGTTCGCAGGTTGTGCATGTCTTGTCTGCATGTGCCATAGAGCCTAAGGGCCTTGGCCAGTTGCCACCAACATGGAAAACAGTTCGTTTCTGTCGGCCTCTAATTGAGACAAGTTAAATACCACTCAGGGCAAGAGACGCAGCGCAGCTAAATGAGATGAGCTGCCTATTAAGACTGTAATTTTTGGCTAGAAAATTGAGCTGACAGGTGGCAAGTGCTGCACACTGGGCCGAGGTCATAGAAAAAGTAGACGAAATTAAAGTATCAAGGCGGAACTATAAAATACTATTATATATTATGTAAATACAGGGTATGCGAAAGGCGTGCTTTATATGCTCTATTCCAACAATTCTTTAAGCCAGATATCGCATGAGCTCATAGGTTGCCCGGCTTCTTTTGTGTTTAGCCGTATGCTCAATGATTTATTTATTGCGCATACGACCCGTGTGCCGAGTAGCTAAATATTTTATTGCCATTATTATTGATTTCGTTGGACGGCCACCGAGCACTTTGTCAACTCCAAACATGAAAACAAATGTTGCTCATAATAAAACTGTAAAAGAGCAAACAAAACAACAAAACAATAAAAAGAAACTTTTAGCACCCAGAATGGGATGGAGAAAAGTGCTGCAATTAAAATTAATTACATAAACATCAATGTGCCGCTGGCAATTAATGTTCCACCCGAGCAGATGTAGTTCTCCGCAACGGACCACAACTAGGCTTCAAGCGGGCGCACGCACACGCACCCACACAGAACTTGGTCAACTCTGTCGCCCTCGGCTCGGCTGGGCTGGGCTTACTACCAGCCGCAGACCTGCAACCCGCAACCCGCAACCCACAATCCAAGTTGACAATAATGAATACTTAATAAAGTGGCATTAAAGGTAGTTGCCCGGATCCAGTTCCCGGACTCTGCACACTTTGTTCTAGGCAACTAAAGGACTGCGAAACATTGAAGGCTCAAGGCGAAGTTTACCTTTGTTTTGGGTCGCAGCTCTGTTTCTCTTATATGTAGTTGTTGCTGGCTAGAAAATTCATTTCATTTCAATTATCAACAATGGAGGCTTAAGTTCGTCTTCATTTTGGCTGTGAGCTGTCATTAAAGATTCCGGCTAAAATGTTGGTACGGCGTAATTTTAATGAAAATGTATTTTTTGTTGTAATTTTACACTTTAGAGCTGTGACGAAAAAGAATTCTTTATGCAAATCATATTGAAATATGAGGAATTCTTCTTTTAACAGATTACTTTGTGCCTAACCAAATACCTTACAACACCTGATCAATTTGACATTAAGGCAAATTGCAAATTAATAATGACGACGTGAGTCGACGCCTAAAATTATGCAATTGTATTTATATTTATGTCTATATCTATTTTGGTGTTTGCCTTTGCGTACATGTCCCCCAGGAATTTATTCATTATTTTTGGCATTTCAATTAATTTTAGCATTCTCACATCAAAAAGCCTACCACATATGCTAATAGTCAGTGAAGGGCTGAAAATAACAAAATTCAGCCAAGAATTATTAAAAAGTTTAAAGCACAAAAATAAATTAAGCTGAATCTTTCATCAGGGTGTTGGCGCACATGCCACATATTACACTCTGGGTATGCACCTAGGTGTGTGTGAGAGAGTGTGTGTGTGTGTGTGTGCACTTGAACGAGATTGAAAATGAAATTAAAAATACAGGAATGTAATCAAAACACAGCTGAAATGCTCGTGTGTGCTAAAGAAGGCAATGTGATGCAATAATCTATATATAGAAACTAGTTTTTTTCTTTGGTAAAAACTCGTGCTTTTGTAAAGGGTTTAACAAAGTTTGATATTTTTTACTAACAAGGTTTACGTATAATTAAAACCAGAATTTAATTTAAAGTCTTAAGAGCTGCTAACGAAATATATTTAATATTTACACTCTTAACATATGGGAAAACTTTTTTTACTGCATTAAAATGTTTCTTTTCTGTGTTGGGTTGCCCAGCTTTCGAGTGCAAAGTGATAATTAATTATCTTTAATTTGTTGAAAATATGAAATGTAATTAAAATTTTAATAGACAAGCCAGCAGAATGTCAATGTCGCGTATACGTTATGCGAGTTTATTATGAATGCGAGTCAAACAAGAAAAGGAGCGCCGCACCCGTGACCCTGAATAAGCTGCAACAAGTAGCTAATGCTAATTGCAGCCAGCGGGTGCTGGACGCCAAGTGTGGGCGTGTCTGTTGGAATTTGTTCATATTTATTTATATTTGCGTTTGTTGCTGCTCATTTGCCTTTTTGCCTTGACAGTGGCGATTAACACGCCATGACATGGCCATCAAGTCGAGGCTGCGTCAGAAAATTTGCTCCGCACTGCTCCAGACCTGAACATTTTGGACAGTGAAACATTTGTCAGGCTGTCGCAAGTATTGCCAGGAGCAACGTATTTGCCTCTAAGGCGCTTTGCCCTGCTCTGCCAAGTTGGCGCCATAAGTTGGCAGACAAATTGGCATAAGCTGCTTTAAGAAACACATCTATCTGGGCGTATAAGTAGCTCGAAAGAACTGAAACTCGAAAATTAATGTAAACCAATTTGTTGCTTTTGTAAACTTGATACTTGCTAGCATACATATATGAAATTGCCAAATTCTGCATTCTAAAGTATTTCTACGTATTTTACAGATTTTCGAAACACATTTCTAGGCGCAGTTGCTGGTCTTCGAGAGTGGCAAGGATATCGACGACAACACAGTGTCGGGGAATGTGACATAAACTACAAAGCTGAAAGTGCAAAGTTCTAGAGTATGGGCGTATGTTGGCGTGTGGGAGTTGCTGTTAGTCGTACTGTGTGGCACGAAAAGTGCTGATAAATGCCAAATAAAGTGACAACGATGCGAAAATTGCCGCGCAGGGACGCCAGGGGGAGAGGGTAGAGCACAACAGTGCCCCAAGCAGTGGGCTGAAGCAGCTTCTCAAATCGCTTGATATCAAATTTGTAAGTGTGCGTATGTGTGTCTGTATGTGTGTGTGCGTGTGTGTGTGCGTGTGTGTGTGTGTGTGTATCTAAGTGGGTGTGACTGAGCCGCATCTAGGCAGGCCCCAAAGGCGTTGACAACCAATTCTAAACATATTTTTTTATTTTTACCGCTTTACATTCGCAGCATTCGCTGCGCCATTTCGCATATTTGCACAGCCTTGCAGGGAGTCGGGCGAATCCATTAAAACGCCGGCATACTCCTTATGGGTCGGCTATATGCGTCACCTCGATTTCAATTTCAAAATTCTGCGTCTAACTGTCGCACAATTGCTTCGCTTCACTCGGTTGTCGTTGGAATTAAATTTGTTGTGCCAATTTTTGGTTCAATTGCGCGGAAAAATGTCAGCACAAAACCACAACAAAAGGTAAATGGCAGCAAAACAAAAGTAAAATGCTGAAAACCAAAGAAAATAATTTACCCAACTAAAAATAAAAAGAACAAAACTGGCAAACAATATTGAGCCAAATAAAATAAGCCTAAGCTGACATTGATGGGTTTTGTGTAGGCCACAGCAAGCCGAGAGAAATATTTGTCGATCGACTGACAGCTGCTGGAAAACAAGTTAAGGGGCAGGAGTCAAATTTTACCAAATTGACGGATGTTTCAAAGTTGTTTGCATAGACATTTTATTGAAATTTAGTTGGTGGCTCAAACCAGAGCTTAGACTATTAGCCGGATAAAGAGTGACAAGTTCTAAGCAAATGAAATCTACCTTCTTTGTGGCTCAATTTTCGGAAAAATGCAATTTCAAAAATGTCTTAAATAAACGGTCACACTCACGTTTAGGCGCAAAGCAATGCAAGTGAAAATGCTTAGAGATAAAATAATTTGCTAGTCGTTACTTTGATGTGAGTTTCAATATTATAAATTACGTGTTTAAGGCTTGACACTGTTTTATGAAAAACCAATTAACGTAGATATATAAGCCGCTTTAGAAAAACCAAATCTGCTCGACACGCTTTCAAAGTGTTTTGACTGTAGAACTTAACTTAGCATAAAAGCAAATGGAAATTTAGAGTAACAAATGCTGGGCATGACGTGAAGCAAGGAGAGCATAACTACAAATAAAAACAAAAAGAAGCACTAAAATAGTAGAGAACCAAAAGTATTCAAAGTCTTGTTGACCCTGAGCCCCACTTTTGAAAGTTTATGTCAGGCGATGTTGCCAGAGGATGACACACCACTATTCTCTCAAATCGTTTTACTGCAACTCAAGCTATGTGCTATCCTGTAAATTAAGCTTTCAAAAAAATGTCAGCGATTTTTGTGTACTTTTGGTTTGTCATATATAAAAAGTTGCACTGCGTATACGTAATATCTGTTAGTTGGTCTACGAAAAAAGCAAATAAATAGAATATAATAAAAGTAGAGACAAGAAAAAAATGCATCAAGATAAATGTTGGCACATCAAATGTTTTTTGTGGGTAACCTCAATATGAATATATATATAAATATATATACATATATATTTGAATATAAATATAATACTCAAAAGCACAAGCTGTGTGGTAAATCATGTGGAAAAACGAGGCGCAATTTTAAATTGCAATCTTTTTTGTCACTTAAGCAGGGGTTTCAACTGAATTCTGAAACGGCACAAAACACTAAATTGAATTTAAAGTATAATAACAAAAACTAAAAGAAAAAACATAATGCCAAATAAATATTAATTATAGGCTTAAAGAAAATGTTAAAGGCACTGAATGTTTAATAGAATCTTAAGTATATGTAATTAAAGAACTAATTTGTAAGGCGTGTGTTAAATAATAATCTATAAACTCATTTAAGACAGTTTTTCCAATGCAAACGAGAAAACGAATACGAATGAAAAATGCAACTAAGTTAATGACAAAATACGATATAAAATATACAATTTGTCTAGAAATGATATGTAGTAAAATCTTTGTGAAAGACTCATAAGTAAAAAGTCGCAGACAAAACTACCAAATATTCAAAATAAATGTTTGAATGAATTTGAAAGTTTGATCATAAGTTAGGCATATTTATAAAAGTCATGAAGAAACGTGTAGAAATCTAAGAACAAGGTTAAAATCTATATATGTTTGTTGTGTGTTAAATTCTAGCTAAGCATATAAAATAAAAACCTTTTAAGATAAGTATCGTAAAATAAAATTGCAAATATATTAAAATATTTTATGATTTTAATGGCCAATACGAAGTTATATAATTAATTGTGCATTACAATTCACAAAATTAAAATGTTTTTAATGAATGTCGCAAGCTTCAAACTTCAAGTCAAATAAATGTAAAATCATATATCAATTGGCAAACATACATAAATACAAACATACATATATATACATATATATATATATATATATATATATATATAAATGTGTTATATTAATAATAAATGTGAATTGTTAAGTAAATGGTGAGCAAAAAAGCCGTCGCAGCCAAGTATTAAACATTGATGCAGCTATCAATAAAAACCAATTAAAATACATATTTTAATTTCAATGCAAATTACAGAATGCATTTTACAATTAACTGAAATATTTAATAAATAATAAATGTTAAACAAAAAATTGATTAATATGTGTATTACTTTTTTATATTTGTTGACAATTTTGAAGCGTACAATTCATTCAACATATATTCTTATCGAAGCTACTTAAATATTGGGAATATTATCAACTCAGATGTTATATTTGAAGCACACAGAAACATAGAGTATTTAAATTCATATTAATACAAAAATTACTCGCTTTATTCAAAGGATATATGAAAATAGTCTTAATTCAGTTTTGCACAGATTACATTTTATTTAATCCAGGGCGTATTTTGTTTAATGGACTTAGAAGGTAAGAATATAATGACAAGTTTCTTTCAACGTTTGTTACAAGCTTAGTATGAATATTTAACAGACAGAAGCCATTGGCCACCCGATTAGTAAGCCGTGTCAATTAAGTAATTGTGTTTCATATTCAGCACATACATGCCCAAAGCCATTCTTTATGCGTCTAGGACTGTGATGCTTTGGGTGGGCCCCACACGTGTCAATTGTTGCGTGTTGAAGTGTTCGCTTGTATTTGTTGTTGTTGCATGTCAAGCTTGTCGTGTTGCCGCTTTCAAGCACAAACAAACAACTGGCAGAGCATAGAACATATGTACAGACAAGCGATTTGTCACTTGATAATTTACGGCCAAATGTAAACTGCGTTGACTGCATCCACAAAGGCAGAATGATGTGCCCCAGGAGAAAGCACAAGAAGCAACAAGTTACTTTACTTATGTTGAGGTGTGCCAGTTATTTTTGCTTTCAATTAAAATGCTGGCATGCCGGAAGTTTTGACAACGCCGAACACGAGGCGTATGAGTGACGCTCGAAATGAGCAAAGTTTTTTGCGTCCCGCCCTGAGCCCTGCGACAAGACATTTAAGGAGCAAAGTTCTGGGAAATTACATGCCAGAAGAGTAAGCGAAATAACTTTGTCAGCGCATGTTAAATAATTACGAATTAATCCAAGTCACATATCTTAAAATGTTCCTAGCAACATTTTACTCCTAAGAGACATCATAAATTAAGCACTTTATCAAAGAGAACTTTCGCATGCAGGCGTAGAAATTTATCACAATTTAATAGTTTTAATTAAAACACATAATATGCAGGCCGACCAAAGGCCACAAGTCTTACAAAAATAAGGAATAGATCAGCAAAGCCGTAAAACTTTAATAATAATGGAAAAAGATAGATTTTTATCCATCTAAATCCTGCCTTAATTATTTGCCTAAGCTCTTGCAATTATTCGATTTAAGTTTTCTTGACATATTATTTGCATTGCTGCTGTTCATAAATTCTTTTTAAGCTCTCTGTAAATAAATATGAATTGTTTCTGATTTGTGATAAGTTAAGCCAGAGGACAGTCCTTGTAAAGTCTCTAAGCTTGAGTATGTCAGCGACAACTTAAATGTACTCCCAACCACAATGGCTCACATGTAGCTTTCTGGTCCTGCAATGGGCCCTTAGCTTTTTTCGTTCACATTTTGGCATTCATGGCATGCTAATGACACTTTTTTTTATGTCCAGCCAGTCAAGGCAATCACCGCAAGCGTTGCACATTTGCAATTTATGTGCTTCCAGATGGATCTCTCTGGGTATAAATATTCTAAAATGAACGCATCATGAAAATGTGCTTGCATTTCGTTGTGGACATCGCAATAATTAATTCAAAACAAGCGTGACAAAGTTGTGTAGTTGCGAAAAGCCACTCATTTGCCCTTTTTCAGATAACAACATGTCGCGTTTTATCTGCGGTCGCTACATACGATACCGCAGATTATGATAAAGAGTATTTGCTAGTCGTCTGACGAGTTCTTACTTTAAAAAAAAGTTTATATATTATTTTAAACGTTTAATTAGTATTAAATTTGAACGTTGTAAATATTTTTGTTTTTTCCCATTTTACTTATCACATGTAATTATTATTCGACCGGAAAATTGAATGGCGACTCGATTGCAAAATGTATTAAAATGTAAGTCTTATGTGAGCATACAGTCAAAATAGAAAATACTTGAATTTACTTGGATTAAGCAAGTGGCGTCTGGCATTGGCCAACAGAAAGTGATTCGAGTGACTATCGACCGCTGTGAACCTATTTTGTGGCTGATTTGATTGCAGTGACCCGACAGCCTTATTGTATTTGTTATTGGATTGAGTTGAGTTGAGTTGTGTTGCGGGACAAAGGTTTGACGAATTCCATCTCCCGCTGGGGAGATATGTCTACCAAACATAGAGAAAGAGCTGCAGGTAGGGGTCAATTAATTATTGATGCAATTTGTCAAATTGACAGTGCGATGTCCATGAAGCAAGCAATTTCATTTTGTTTGCCAGTCAAGTGTCCAAGTTTTAAATACTTCAGCTCTATGAGACTTTATGTATACTAAGCCAAATATTATTTTTGACGATGTCGGTTTAATTGCTTACTAATTCAGTTTCTATTGTTTGTATTGGGGTTATTTGTTATTGTTATTTATGACAACAAAGAGATGCTAGGTAAATTTTCAATAAAATAGACTGATAAAATTGCGAGTCGAGAAATTTTTGTTTTAAACAGCTCAACAAGATATGGACAGAAAGCTATTTGGATTTGTCTATTTGTATTTGCGTATTTGTATTTGTCCACTGAAACTTTAATTTTGTAGAATAGTGAAATATTTGAATATTTATTATACAATACAATTACTGCCTTATTTAGCTCGTGATTATGTTGAACACGATTTAACTTTTAAAAAACATTCAATTTTGGTTTACCATAATGCATCATAATGCAATTCCACAATTATGCAATCAAGCCGAACTTTGGGACAGTTGAACAATTGGGAAATAAAAGTGAATACTTAAAGCCAAAAGGCAGACTCTTTTTCAACTGAATG